CGGGCAGTGTTTCGTTCTGCTGTGCATGGGGTCGCTATGAGTCGGAAACGACTTGACGGCACTTAACAACAACAACAACAACCTCACTGGAGACTGTGGAGAGATAGGTTCTGTTTATGTCATTTATTCAATTAATTTGTGTTGTGTTCCTTCTATGTTTAGGGAACTACATTAAGGACATTAGCTCCGGTCTCAGTCTCTAATGACACTTGGTGGGATCTTCCTAACTGTCTAACCAAAAGGAATTCTTTCTTAAATGAAAGCTTTTTTTTTTTTTTTTTTTCTATAAGGATTGAGAACAATTCTAGTTGTTGGTGTGAACCTGAAGCTATTAGTGTGAACCTAAACAGGTTAACTAATAGGTTAAACTAATCCAGTCAGGAGAGATTCCAGGATGTCAGTGGCATTCCCTCTGTAGACCAAGAAAGTAGTTTAAGCCAGAATCTCCATGCCCAAGAATTTCTATCTTGAGAGGGGAACAACCAGATGTCCTCACCAGAGGATCTCACTGATATCTTTGATACAGTATAGTCTACATCCTGGGCTCCTTGCCATATTATATGAATTCAAAGCCATTTGGCTTCACTTGCCCCATGGCTTTCCTGAGAAGGTATAAGAGGGTAGTCATTCTCAGGGTGGGGGCATGGTGGGGACAAGAAGTACATCCTGCCCTGCCCTTGGACACCTGGGAAACCCACAAGTGGGTGGTTTGTGCCATCACTGAAGGGTGGTAGAGCTTGGAGAGAGTTTGGAAACTGCCATTGTCCCCTCAGGCTGCAATTGCAATGGTAGCTGTGAAGAAGACATGTCTCCACCTGTAGGAAGATTGGCAAGGACTGTCCCCAAAGCCACACAGACCAGCTACAGAGGCAGCTTTGCACACAGAGGACACAGAGGAGTGATAAACAAATGGGAAATGGAAGATGTTCTCCAGATGAGTGGCTCCCAGACTGTGGGAATTCATGAACCAGGAAAATACAAAATAAAATGCAGGGAAGAGTAATAAAGGGTTGCCAAGTTCGTACTTTGTGAAGTAAGTTAAAAAAAAAAAAAATCTACCGTTTGGTTCACCATCATCTTGTTAAAAAAACATCTTCTCTCCCCTCAAAAAGGAAAAAGAAAACAAAACATAAACTCAGAACTAAAAAGAATGTTGTTGTTATGTGCCGTCGAATTAAGACTCATAGTGACCCCCTCCTTGGGTTTCCGAGGCAGTATCACTATGGAAGTAGATTGCCCAATCTTCCTTCCGAGGAGTGGCTGGTGGGTTTGAACTGCCAGCCTTCTGGTTAGCAGTCAAGTGCCTTAGCCACTATGCTACCAGAGCTCCCAAGCTTTATTTTTAAGATCACTGCAGTACCCTTATTTTTCTACTTCACTGAGGAGAAGCATATCCTGCATGATGAAACACCTAGCGTGGCGTCTGGGAATCATCATTCCAAGTAGGTTCCCCATCGTGCAGATGGGTGCCTGGAATGCAAGCTCACATATGTTTCTTCCTCCTGCCATGGGCTGCAGGGAAACCAGTTGATGAGGTGTAGCCACAGTCTAGCAGGCACTGTACTCTTTACTGTCTGGGCTCATCACTCATCCTCTGCCTTGATCTTCTCTAAGTTTCCATTTCTCTCAGCTCGGGGAAGCCCAGGACTTACATTTTCCTCCTGTCTCCACTTACAGATTAAAACTGAGGACCTCAGTGACTCCCTTCAGCAGACCCTCTCCCACCGGCCATGCCCCTTGTCACAAGGACCTACCATGATGTCCGGAAACCAGATGTCTGGAGTAAGTGCCAGCCCATTTCAGGGAACCCTGATATTCTCACTTGGACAGTGAATTTATCTCAAGCCCTCTGCAAAGCGTTTGGCTCCAAAGCCTTGTACATAGCTAATCCATATTTGTCCAAAGAACTCCTGCAGGGAATGCTAGAAAAAAAAATAGGAGGCCTAGGGTGGGAATGGGGGACAGAAACTACTCCTTTTAAAGGTTAAGCTTGAAAAAAATAGGTAAAGCTTGGCTAAGAATGTGAAGAGGCCAGTCTCTGCCTCTCTTGGGGAAAGGGAGACAGTGTTGCCAGAACAGTGGGCCTAACAGCTTTGCTCCTGGTGTCTGCCAGCCACACTAAGGGGAAGCCTATGATGACAGTTCCTGCTAGAGTTGTGAACATTTCCGCAACGGACCACTCTCTCTCCCCCCAGTTTTACATCAAAGCCAAACTAGAGTGGAGTGCTGGTATGTGGGAGAAAGAGGCATCCTGAAACAGTAGCATGTTCATGGGGCAAAGCCCCTTCTTGATGTGGATCACCTAGGGAAGAAAGAGCTACCCTTTATCTGGAAATATTTAGATTAGAACATACAACCATTCCTTTACTTCTTTGTGCAGCAAGGATTGACTTTATCTTCTCTGTGTGCACACACTGAGCTCAGCTCAGTAGGGGCTCAGAGTCCCAGGATCTTGATCATAGAGGACTTCCAGGTCCCCTAAGCATTGGGATTGATATTCCCATTTTCTGGGCTGGTGGGAGAAACTCAAGGGAAATAGACTTTCTATTCAATTACATTGGTTTTATTAAGAACTAGTACCTTGCCCCTTGTTCCATTCCCCACACCAGTGGCACCCCAGGAAAGGTCAGGCCCAGGACTTTTAGCATCGTCAAATGGCTTAAGGTTAACAAAAGCGAGAGGGTAGGACAATTAGAATTGCGTGTCATTTCTAGGGTAAACTTTTGAGACATCTGTAATATTCAATCTCTGCCCTCAGTGCATTTTCAATCTCATTGGGAGACAGGACTGACATACACAAAAGTTAAATAACAAGGCAAGGGTTAAGCAGCAACCTTTTGCAAGGCACTACTTGGCTGAGTGCCAAAGCTGTAACAACACCAAGATTAATGGAGCAGCTACTATATGCTGGACATTAGGGTGCAGGGGGGTATAAGGCAAGGCCACTATCCTCAAACACTCAGTATGGAAACATCCTAATGCATGGGTCAGGTCAGCGGTCTGCAGATGGAGCCAGCACCCCAAACTGGTCAATTCTATGATGTCTATATCTCCCCCACATGCAGGACATGACTTCACTCCATCCACTCCAACAGCTGGTGCTGGTTCCTGGCCACTTACAGTCTGTATCCCAGTTCCTGCTCTCTCAGACCCAGCCTGGACAGCAAGGTAAGAATTCCTCAGAGCTCCACATGGAGCAAGTCCAATGAAGGGCCACCTTGCAGCTTGCTGGGTGAGGGGGCCCAAGTGTGGAGCATGGTGGGTCGCTCACCTGTCAGACCAGCTTGGCCACCTTGGGGCCTGAGGAAGAAGACTCTGGAATGGCCCCCTCCAGGCTTACTTCCCTTCTTTGCTTCCCCTCCCAGCCTCTTACTTTAATTTCATGGAGAACTGAGACTGAAGGTACAAAGGAGGAGTGGGGGACAAGGTAGGAGAAGCTTCTTGGGAAATGTAGTGCAGACAAGTCTCAATTCCTTAGAATCACTCCTGGGCAAGAACTCAGACTCACCCCTGAAAGCCTCTCTGTGATTATTTGGGTAGAGCGGTAGTGCCACCCACAGTCTGTGAGAGGGTTTTCAGCTTTTCTTTAGCAGGGAAAGGAGCCCTGGTGGTATATGATTGAAGTAAACAGCTGCTAGCAAAGAGGTTGATGGTTCAAACCCACTAACCACTCCATGGGAGAGATATGTGGCAGTTTGCTTCAGTAAAGATTTACAGCCTTGGAAAACATATGGGGCAGTTCTACTCTGTCCTACAGGGTCACTGTGAGTCAGCAATGGGTTTGTTTGGGTTTTGGCAAACAGATAAGAATATTCATAACAATAGCTAACTTTTTTGAGCAGGAGGTACCACAAACTCTGCTCAGTGTTTTTTCTAACTTACCTTCAAAATGACCCTATATGTTAGATAGTCCTATCATGCCTCTACCACTAGAAAGATCCACAACAGTCTGATGGAAGCCCATGCTCTTGGCCAACACACTGTATTGTCTTGCTCTCTGTCATCTCCACTTAGTAGGGCCAAGAGTGATGGAGCGAGTAAAATCTCTCAAGTCTGTTGTACAAGTCCAAGTAGAGGCTTTGGAAATCCAGAATTCAAACAAAATGCAACTCTCCCTTTTTCCCTTAGCACCTGTCCAATTAGAGTCCTTATCTTTAGTTTTTAAGGCATTGTGAATGTGATGATGAGGATGACAAATGACAACATATTTGAAATTTCTCTTCAAGTGTTTATTTTGGCTAGTTAATCCACATCATTTTCCTGGGTTAGGAAAGGGAGGATAAAAGTTAACTCTATATCTTCTTAGAAGAGAGGAGTGGCATATAGCCAGTGAGGTCAGAATATGATACAGTAAAGGAAGAAAAAAAAAAAAAAAAAAAAAAAAGGCAGTTCAAGATTTGGAGTAAAAAAAAAAAAAAACTGGTTGGTAAGAAAATCACTTACTGGTTTGTAACCTTGGAAAATATACCTAATCATTCTGAGCTTCCATTTCCTCCTCCATAAAACTGGATAATCTTAACACTCTATCCTATAAAATTATTGAGGATTAATTGAACTAATGTATGCCAAAAGACTTTGTACATTTCAAAATGCAATATAAATGTTAAAATTACCTCCTGACTCTCTATCCAGGGTCCTAATAAGAACTTTCTTGCTCGTTTATTTTAACAAGGAAAAACTAAGCCCTGCCTTTTTTAGAATGAGGAATATAAAGGGCAGCCTCTAGGTTTTCCAAGTCAGGGACCCAAAACAACTAAGGGACAGCAGAGTGATTGGAGTGACCCACACTTATTACCTGCTTTGGTGATGTGATGGCTGTGTCCCTCCTAAGAGAGAGCCTACCTGCAATGGCCAACAGTGAGGCAGAGGCCTTCTCAGACAGTTTTTCTGGAGAGGGAAGGGGAAAGAGGTCCTCAGGCAGTGTAACAAACAGGTAGAGTCCATGCCACCAGGTGGAGTTTCCAGAGGCTTGGGCCCCTGGTCTTCCCTTCTCTTCTAGGCCTTTGTCCCATGTATAAAACATCCTGGGTCTGCATGAGTTTCTGGCCCATGCCCATTGCCCTCTCAGCTGGGTCTTTGCAGCCATCTCAGCTACTTGTCCTGCAGGAAAAACTGAAATTGTCTGCTCCAGCTTGAATTCTTAGTAGTCACCCTCTGTGTTTCCTCCTCTCTTGGGTTTCTTCAGGCCTGGTTATCAGATCCCAAAGTTATCAGATTGTCTTGACCCTCCTTTGCACCCCTCTAGGTGGGTGGGCAGGCAAGCAGAAGGACTAGATTGGGGATGGTTGTTTACTTCTCTATTTATCCTCATGTCTGATTCACCTCCACCTATGTGTGGCAATGCCTGGCAGTGCCCATGGAGGCCTCTCTATAGGCCTCAAGGTGGGTTGAGGGACCAGATTGTGTACCAGGTGGTGGGGGCGGTTATTATAATTCAGAAGCTGTAGAGCATGTCTCTTAGATGGCCTGGATTTTATTTGTTTGTTCCTTTGTCCCTCCCCTCCCACCCAGGTCTGCAGCCAAATCTTCTCCCCTTTCCCCAGCAACAAAGCAGTCTCCTCCTCCCTCAGACTGGGCCAGGCCTTGCGTCCCAGGTAAACAACCACATTCTTCCTATTTCCTCTAGGAATGTCTCAGCTCCTGACAGAGTTGAGCATATTAGTCTTTCTCCCATCCCCTTGGCAAGGTATTACCCCTCTGGGCAGAGGGAATGTCAGAGAACTATCTCTGTTGACACGTAGAAATCCAGGCCCCAGTCAAGGAAGACAATTTACCCAGTATCAGTGGTGGGGCTACAATTAGAACACAGAGATTTTGATGCATAGGCTAGCCTGCTCTGTATTGCAAGGACTGAGCTCCAGCCTTGATCAGGTCCTAGCATCACTCCTCTGAGAACCAGAGATAGCTAACTTTCCATGTACACTATCGGCTCTGCTTAGGTGTTCTCTCTAGCCCTAGGAGGAGCCTAGACTATCACAGGCCTAACATCCTGAGACCACAAGGACCCAGGTTCATGTCTCTTCTCTAGACCTCTCTTCTTGTTGTCAGCTGCCTTTGAGTCTGCCTCAACTCATGGCAACCCATGCACAGCAGAACAAAACACTACCTGGTCCTGCTCCATCTCTGATTGGTTGCAGATCAGACTGTTATGATCCATAGGGTTTTCATTGGCTGATTTTCTGAAGTAAATCTTCCTGGTCAATCTTAGCCTAGATGATCTGCTGAAACTTGTTCAGCATCATAGCAACACACAAGCCTCCACTGACAGACAGGTGGTGGCTATGCATGAGGTGCATTGGTTTGGAATCAAAACCGGGTCTCTAGCACAGAAGGCAAGAATTCTAGTCCTGAATGACCAATACCCCCTGGACCTCTCTTAAAGCTCACCATTCTAGAATGCCTCCTACAAGTGGGCACACATGTTGGTCAAGTTGACTGAAGTCTGAGATGGGGCCATTTGCAGAGCAAAGCTTGTTCCACACAGCTTTTTATTTATTTATTTATTTTGACATTTAGAAAAAACTCACCTCTTTTCTCTGGCCAGATGCAGCCTCATGCTCAGATGCATGGCTTGGCAACAACAGCACGAGCTGTGTCTTGGTGCTTCTCTTCTCCTCATCTGGATATCCTTGTGCAGTTAATGACTGCACAGCTGTATGAGATGGCTCTGTGCAGATGGATACCAGACTAGAATGCAATGTCTGCAGAGATCATGATGCCACTTCTCTGTGGTAAAATACCCTTGGCTTGCTGAGGGCTCTGGCTTTAAGAGAGGCAGAGCTGTGAGTCAGAATCTATGGGACTGCAGGAGGTTTAGAGAGCCCACTGAAGATGCCTGGAAGGGTGAGAGTGCCATCTAGTGGTTAAAGGAATAGGAACACCAGAGTCCTAACCTGCTCTTCTACCTCTTGACTATTCTCAAACTACCATAACCATAAATTTAGAGACGGAAAAGATCTTATAGATAATTCAAGATCAACTCTCACATCTTTTAATATTAGATCAGAAGGAGACTGGAAACAGAGAGATCATTTAGAAGATTTTAAAGATCATCCAGGGACTGGTTAATAAGGGACTGACTTAGGGCTGTGGCAATAGTATAGAGAGGAGAGGATGGATCAGGAGCTATTTTGAGAAGTTGAATCAATGCAATTTGACAACTGAATGGATTGTGGGGAAAGATATAGCAGAGAACTTAGCATGTATTTCTCAAATGAAAGAACAAATGAATTCATTAAAAGGAAGGGTCAAACAGGACTGAGGCTTTGAACTGAGTATCTGATTCAGACTCAAAACAGGTTTGAATCCATGATGGTTTCAAAATATTCTGTTCAAAAAGGTCCTTCACAGGGGCAAAGATTTCTTAACTTCTCTCTGGTCCTTTGCCCTTCTTCATCCTAAGGATACTTCTTTAAACGGCAAACGAATATTTCAGAAGAAAGGAAAAAGGAAAATTAACCCCAATGTAGGGAATAAGTACTCTGGGAGGGAGAAATAAGAGGGTGGACTTAGCCCAAGTTATCCACATGGGCAGTGGCCCCAGGGCAGAACACAATGGCTGGACCCCTGGGCCTGAACCCCATTCCAACTTTGTGGAAAGACAAATATTCCAAAAGTAGGATTCATTCCTGATCCAAAATGGGCATGCCATGCATTCTTTAAAAATCAACTAAAGGAAGAATATCTCCTGACAACCATGAATGAAATAAGGGGCATGTTAGATAGCACTGGACTACCTTTGATTAACAACAACAACAACAATTCTCATGAAAGAAAATGGTAGCTTTGGAAGTAAAATGGCAGTCATTAGGGTTTGAAATTTTTATGGAATTTTTATTAGTGGAATGCAGTCTCAGATGTCCTCTGTTATCTTCATTTAATATCTGTTGAACACTTCAGTTACCCTGCTTTGTGGAAAAGAACAGACAAGACAAACAACCTTTTCCTTATTCCTTTCTGAGATTGATTTTTGTAATCTGTAAACAACTCTGCTACCTCCTTTTATGGTGGAAAACTGAAAGCAGGAAGTTACCTGCCCAGAGCCAGACAGTGAGTCATAGACTAAAACTCAGAAAGGCCACCTCCCTATTCTACACTTCTGCTGCTTCTATCCCAGCTGTTCTAGTTATTTGCTAAACCTCCATAGAAACTCTGATTTCCTCTTTGACATCATTGAAAAATAGAAATTGAATGTACCCAACATCTGTCCTCCTCTAAGTGGGCCTACTGGTGAGGAATAGCAGAAAATGCCATTTGACCTGTTGAATATTTGTGCATCAGCTAGGCATGTGTTTCCTATTAGGCTGTTGGGCGCCCTGGTCTGCCAGGATCTTCTTTAGAATCCCATCTGGAAGCATCGCAGCATCTCCCAGTGCCCAAGCATCTATCTAGTTCTGGAGGGGCTGATGAGCCCAGTGACCTCGAGGAGCTGGAGAAGTTTGCCAAGACCTTCAAGCAGAGGCGCATCAAGCTGGGATTCACACAGGTTTTGTTTGGGGAAAGAAATGGATTAAGTTGAGTTCATTGAGAGAGGGGTTGGCTTTCCAAGTGCAAATGTCAAGAGCAACCTGAGGCTTGATGTGTTTGAGGCAACCCCCTAGTGTCTCCACATTCCCTGAGCATAGGATATAGTTGCCATTGGCAGGTAAACTGAGGATGCTGCTGTGGGGCAGGAAAAGGAATGAGAGCCAGGCACATGGGCATGGCCAACTTAGAATCTAGGGAGAGAAATGAACCATTTCTCCACCTTAGAGGGGAAAGATTTGGAAAGCAGCCGATGCAATGTGAGTGCATGCTTAAAGGTTATCATTGGGTGTGTGATGCTAAGGTAGTGGGGGATGTGAGCAAAGAAGCAAAGACAAGGAGTGGGCTGTCTCTCATGGTCCTCCCTCTTAATCCCCATGCACAGGGAGATGTGGGACTGGCGATGGGAAAGCTATATGGAAATGACTTTAGCCAGACTACCATTTCACGGTTTGAGGCCCTCAATCTGAGCTTCAAGAACATGTGCAAGCTCAAACCACTGCTGGAGAAGTGGCTGAATGATGCAGGTAGGCCTCAGGGAAATGAGATGGATGAAGCCCTGGAGGATTCTATACTGAAGGGGCTTTTGACAAGGCTGTTTTGGGGCCTTAGAGGATCAATATATAACACCCCTTTCTTCTCCTAAGTCTAGAACCAACTGAGAAGACACAGGAGACAGAAAGTAGAGATGAAAATGTCAGCTTTATTGCTGATAAAGCCCTTTGGAGGACATAGCTTTAGGTCTGCGATCAAAAAGACTTGCCCCCAGTTCCATTCCTACCCTAGACTGACCCAGCTTAGACCTTAGGACAACTCACTAGAGACAAAGTTTGGGTCTGCAGAGTAGGCACACCTATCCAGATTGCATCTGGACTAGGTCTTAGATCAGAGTTTCTGACCTTCAGCACTATTGACATTTTGGGCTGGAGAATTAATTCTTTATTGTTGGGGCTGTCCTATGCATTGTAGGATGGTCAGCAGCATCTCTGGCCTTTACCCATGAGATGTCTTTCCCCAGCTGAGATATTCAAAATGTCTCCAGACATTGCCAAATGTCTCCTGGAGGGAGGAGAGTAAAATGGGCCCAGTTTGAGAACTGCTAGTCTAGGTAGAGAGAGGAGGATCAGAGTCAAATCCCCGGGCTTGGCTCTATTTAATGAACACAAATAGATTTACATTTACGGTACAGAGGGAGGAAAGAGTGGGATGGGCACCCAAGAGTCTTACCCTCATGGAAGCTCCTTCACATGGAAACATGGGAAAGGGGTAAGAAAGCTGTCCCTAACAGGCTGTCCCTTAGACAGCTTTTCTTGAAGCATTGAATTGAGAGAAATTATCATAGCATCTTAGAATGTTCAGGAAAGGACCTTAGAGATCATCTCTAGTGTGATTCTCATCTGATGCCTGGCTCCTTTGTAAGGGAATATCCCCACCTATTCCTCCAACACTTCCAATGACAAAAAGATGACTTTAGCACCAATATTCTACTGCCAGGTAGCAGGGCTTTTAGTTGTGAATGACAGTTCACATTTCACTTGGTATTCACATTCAGGCATATTTACAAAAAACAAATTCATGAGTGTTACTTGTAGGAGCCCTGCTTGTACCCACTCACACCCACACATGCCGCTGATGTCTGGGCACCCCTGAACCATGACTGCAAACATTGGAGACACTGCTGTTGAAAGCATGGAGGAACTTTGCCCAGAACAACAAGGAGAAGCAGGATTCTTGGTCGGTTCTATTCCTCTGCTTGGGGGAGGGAGGCTGGTCCTAAAAATGCCACTGCAGAACCCACTAGGAACAGTTATTGGACCTCAAGTCCATCAAGCCAGGGCCTGAACCAGCCTCTTGTTCCCTTCTCTGAGTTTTCTTTGTTACTCCATTTTCCCACAGAGTCCTCTCCTTCAGACACCTCAGTGAGCACCCCTAGCTCTTACCCAACCCTCAGTGAAGTATTTGGAAGAAAGAGGAAGAAACGGACCAGCATTGAGACCAATATCCGCCTGACTCTGGAGAAGAGATTTCAAGATGTGAGCAACTCATTTGGGTGGGAGTGAGTGGGCCACCTTCCACTCGAGTGAGTAGGCCCCTGAGGTACCAGCCCCTCCTCTCCCTACACCTGCCCTGGGAAATGGTTGAGAAGCAAAACACCCATCATCTCCAGGTGTCCAGGCCACTGATGGTGGTCTATTGAGTCAAAGACTGCCTTTCTTCTTGGATTTCCATCTTGCCCTGACATCTATTTGTGATTCACTGTCTCTCTCACTGAGAGCTTGAAAAGATGGGATATAGTGTCCTAGAAGAGGGTTTAGTTGAGATAAAGGGAGCAAAGCAAGGACATTGTATATAAATTCCTTATCTTCTATAAAGTACATTTTATCTTCAAATATAATAAATTGTAGACAATTTGAAAAATACAAGGAGGGAAACAAATGAGTGGTATCTACCATCCCAAATATACTTTCCACCCACCACCCATGTCACTGAGTCAATTCCAACTCATAACAACCCTATAAGACAGAGTAGAACTGACCCATAGAGTTTCCAAGGCTGCAAATCTTCATGCCACCACTCATCTGTCAGTTTGTCATACTGTTGTGGCTTGCATGTTGTTGTGAAGCTGAAGGCTATGCCACTGGTATTTCAAATACCAGCAGGGTCACCCATGGTGGACAGATTTCAGTGGAGCTTCCAGACCAAGATAGACTCAGAAGAAGGAAGGGGCCATCTACTTCTCAAAGAATTGGCCAGTGGAAACCTTATGAATAGCAGTGAAACACTGTTTGATATATTACTGGAAAACCTTATGAATAATCCTGAAACATTGCCCAATATAGTGCGAGAACATGAGCCCCTCAGGTCAGAAGGCACTTTCAATACGACTGGGGAAGAGCTACCTCCTGAATAGAGCCCACCTTAATAATGTGGATAGAGTAAAGCTTTCAGGACTTCCATTTGCTGATATGGCAGGACTCAAAATGAGAAGAAATAGCTGCAAACATCCATTAGTAATCCGAACATGGAATGTTCGAAGTATGAATCAAGGAAAATTGGAAGTTGTCAAAAATGAAAAAATGAAATTGAATTCATAAAGATCGATATCCTAGGCATTAGTGAGCTAAAATGGACTGGTTGTGGCCATTTTGAATCAGACAACCATATGATCTACTGTACCGGGAATGATAAATTGAAGAGGATGGCATGGCATTCATTGTCACAAAGAATGTTTCAAGATCTCTCCTGAAGTACAATGTTGACAGTGATAGGATGATGTGGTAGTTAAGTTTGTGTGTCAACTTGGCTGGGCCTGGTTGAGTGGCTGGGCAGCTGGATGTAGTATTCCCCATGATGAGACTGGTAATCTACTCCATGGTGCAATCTACTGTGAGCAGCTGTGTAGCTGCCTTAGGGATGTGGTCTGCTTCTTATATAAAAGGACAAGCCTTGGGGAATGGTCTCTAGCTACTTGAACCCTGCATGTAGCTGTGTTGTTGTTCAGCAGCCTGCCATGCTCTGCTGACCTTGGAACTTTCAATGGACTTGAATTAATAGCCTGCTGTGTGGTTTGGTAACATCAAGACTGTGCCTTTTTACTTGTCAACCTTGGGCTTGTCAGCCTCAGCAACTAGCAGCTGAGTGAAGAAAAGCCTTCAGCTTCAGTGGGCCAGGAGCAGGAGGAAGAACTAAAGCCCAAGGTTGAGGGACTTTCACCCAAACTCTAGAGCCTGGCACTTTGAACTTGGACTTAAGGCCTCCAAATTGTAAGAATAAACACCTGTTTTTAAGGCCATCCCATCTGTGGTATATTCTTGTCAGAATGGCACTAGGTAACCAGAACAGATGACAACAGTTACAAGCCAGAAACCTAGATGTCATCTGTGACTCCTCCCTCTTCATCACTCTTCACTTCTCAGTCAATCTCTGGAGTCTGTTGGATCTGTCACAGAACAGTTAAGCACACAGGTCCTGAAACCAGTCTACTTGATATCACATCTCGATGCTGTGTGACCTGGGCAGGTTGCATAGCATCTCTGTGCCTTAGATTTCTCATCTATCTAGGTTACCACTATCTAAAAGAAATTTCTACAGTGATGGACCTACCCCTAAGGATTGTTTGGAGTTTAAGAATAATATTAATCAGGCTATGTTAAACACTTAGAACACTGCCTGGATCTAGATGTTTAATTTTTCATAATTAACTATCTCCCGTTCCTTGAACCTGACATATTTTCACCTGAGTTGGTGCACTAGACTTCTAACAGAATGCCCTGACAGCAGTTGTCCCCACCTACACTCTATTCATTCTTCCTGCTGCAGCCAAAGGGAAACTTCTAGAATGCAAATCTAATCATGTCTCTATAGTCCCCTAATCCCTCCCATGATTTCTTAGTGCCAGCTCTGCCTCACATACTGTGTACCAGTCCAAGGAGCTTGGTTGAGTTCTTTCAGTTTCAAGACACCATACTGCTCTTTGCCTCCAGGCCTTTGCACATACTCTTGTATATGCCTGGAACAGTCTTCCCACCCCGTCCTCTCCTCCCTGCCCCACTGCACTTCACCTGGCTACTTCCTCCTCATCCTTCAGCTCCCACTTAGATATCAGAATGGCTTCCCTGGATCCCTCAAGGCTAGATTACCTTTCCTCCCCAAACACCCTGTTCTTGGTCTATCAAAGCACTTACCGGATTATAAAAGAGTCTCTTTGGCCTCCAAAACATCATCTGTAATGTGTCTGATTTATTTACAAGAGAATCCCCAGCCCCTTGCCTGGTACATGATCACTGCTCACTAAGTGTCTATGAGTAAATGAATGGGAGGGAAGTAGTATTATACTCAGTTTACCAGTAAGGGACTAGAGACTCAGGTGGGTTATTTGTTGCAAGTCACACAACTAGTAAGTGGTAGAGCAGGGTATGATACTAGTTCCTGTGACTCTGAAGCTCATGATCTTTCTACTGTGTCTTTACAGGAAGGAAAGGGACTTTGAAGTCCTTAAAAGAATTTTCTTTTGTGTGGAGGAGAAAATATACACGCATGCACATACATACACACAAACCTGGTGATGGACAAGATTCATTAAAAAAACTTTAAATCCCCTCCAAAAAACACCAAAATATCGAACACCGTGATGGTTAAAGTTATAAGGTGTAAACAGGACTAATGCATTTTTAAGTGTATGCATGTTAGTTGTACCTTCTTGGGTGCAAGTATGACTTTATAATTGTCTTTATTTAAAGATTATGTGTAGTTTAATGAGATGTGTACAAGTGCCAGGTTAATAAGGGGTGGACTGTGATAGTTAAGGATATGTGTCAACTTAACTGGGCCATGATTCTCCATGGTTTAGCAGTTATGATATAGTCTTCCCCCAAGATATGATCTGATAGAATATAATCGTCACTTTCCTGATGAGATCTGCCATCAGCAGCCATTCAGTTGAAAGGGAATTTCCTCAATGATGTGGCCTGCTTCCAGTACATATGGATGTCCTTGCAAGGCTCTGTGGCTTTTTGATCAATCTGGATCCTGTATCTGGCTTATCATTATCTGATCACTGGTTCTTTGGACTTGAGCCAGCTGCCTGCTGTATTGCCTGCTGATCTTGGGATTCACTACCCTAAGTAGCCTGTGAGCCAGTAGCCTGTCATCTTACCTGCCAGTCTTGGATTCATCAGCCTCCACAGCCCATGAGCCAGCAGCTTGACATCTGACCTGCTGATTTTGGCTCCATCAGCCCCTGCAGATGCACAAGTCAGGAGAAGCCTCCAGCCTGATGTCTGAGCCACAGACTTGGGATGTGCCAGCCTTTACAACCATTTGAGCCATTTCTTTGAGATAAATCTCTTTATACACACACACACACACACATATATTTATAAGCTTCACTGGTTTTCCTTCTCTAGAGAACGCAGCTTAAGTCAAGCACTAAATCAACTCTGTGCCAAATGCTTTACCTACATCACATAATTCAATCCTTAGAACTCTATGAAGTTAATATAATTAATCTCTTTCTACAAAAGAGGACATTAATGTTTAGAAAAGGTGAACAACCAACTCTAGGTCAACAGCTAATAATACAGATGAGGCCAATATTTGACTAGCCTGACTCTAAGGTTGCTAAATATGGCCCCCTCATTCTGGACCTGGACCTGTCAAATGCAGAGGGCTGAGTAAAGAAAGGGTGCTCTGGTGGCATAGTGCCTAAGGCATTTGACTGCTAACGAGAAGGCTGGTTGTTCAAACCCACCCACTCCTCTGAAGGAAAGTTGGGCAATCTACTTCCGTAGTGCTATCACCTTGGAAACCCAAGGGGGATACTATGAGTCGGATCCGACTCGACAGCAGTTGTTTTTTTGGTTTGAGTAAAGAAAGAGTTTTCAGCCCTCTAATAAGCTTCCTTTGGGGAATAGGGGAAAGCACTGTGGAGTAATTCCCTGCCTTCGTTTTCCCCAGCCCATCTCTGTGTTATTGGCCCGGTGTTCTTTGTAAAATGCCAATCTGAATCACATCCATTCCCTCCTCAAAATAACAGTGGCTCCTCCTCAGCTTCAGGATAAAGTTTCAAGTTTTTAGTGTAGCACATGAGGTCATTGCCATCTGGCACTGCCCTGTTTTTCTTCTCTTCCTTCTTCTTTCACTGTATATTTATTTAAAGAAAAGCCTCCCAAACTCAACTTGTCTAGATCCCCACTGTCCAAAAGACCTTTCTGCGATGATGGGAACATTCTGGATGTGCTTTGTCCAAAGCCACCAACCACACATGACTACTCAGCACTTGGAATGAGCACTTTTGCAACTGAGGAACTTAATTTTTTACTTTATTTTAATTAAAATTAAGTAACCACATGTGGCTAATG